AAAGAGGAAGCATACCACAGAGATCAAATGGGTGTGCACACGGTAGGTATGCAATCTTTATTCTATATGTGTGCACACCATATGTAGGCTCTTCACACTTGTGTGTGTGGCTATGTATGTGTTCACATACCTGCACAATGTGTAGATATTCACTGTGTGTATACTGTACCCGTTCACACTATGCTTGTATGTACATTACTATAACAACTTAATTTCCAGATGAAGCACCATGCAAGGTTTGTGCATAACAGAGCACACTTTGCATATGAACTGTACAGTATATGTGATTTTGTGTGCCTGGGCCCCTTTGTGTGCTGTGCTATGCTCTATGGTGTGTGTTTATGTGTGTACTCTGTCTTTGCGTGACAGCAGTATGACAGTGCGTAGGTGCACTTTGTGTGCTCTGCAGGTCTGTATGCATGCTGCAGTCTGCAGTTGTATGCATTTTGTTGTACTCTACATGTATGTGGCCTGCAAGTTCTGAATATACACATAGATTTCACAGATGTTTATTGAGTCTGATACCCCGCACTGGGCAAGAAAGAGCACCAGGGTCAGGTGACCCTAGCCAGGTGCTTGTCCAGTCTCCTCTTAAAGACCCCCAAGGTAGGGGAGAGCACCACCTCCCTTGGAAGCCCAGGCCAGATTCTGGCAAACCTTACCATAAAGAAGTTCTTCCTGATGTCCAACCTAAATCTGCTCTCTGTCAGTTTGTGGTTGTTGGTTCTAAGCACATTGGACTCTGCATGTGCCTGCGTGCTGCACTCCACATGCATGTGTGCATGCTATATTCAACATGCATGCTGTCCTCTACAGGTGCTCTACAAGCAGATAGCTGACATGCGCTGCATACATGTATGCACATGGGATTCTCCATGTAGGTGTGCCCTCTGAACTCTACATGCATGTTGTACTCCACATGCATGTAGCCAACATGCTCTGAATGCACACAGGACTCCACACGTGTGCACGCTGTACTCTGCCCACGTGTTGTACTCCACATGCATGTAGCCGACATGCATGCGTGCACGTTGGACTACATGTAGGTGCATGCAGGAACGTGCAGGCTGCGGGACATGCATGCAGTTTGCCTGCCTGCGGATGCATGTTGTACTCCACATGCATGTAGCCAACATGCTCTGAATGCACACAGGACTCCACACGTGTGCACGCTGTACTCTGCCCACGTGTTGTACTCCACATGCATGTAGCCGACATGCATGCGTGCACGTTGGACTACATGTAGGTGCATGCAGGAACGTGCAGGCTGCGGGACATGCATGCAGTTTGCCTGCCTGCGGGCACGCGGTCCCCTTGGCCGGCCCTTGCCCGCGTGC